CCGTGCTAACTAAGGCTTACCTTTGCTTCCTCGTGTGTTGCTATTATATGAATTACGCGTTGCACGCGCTGGTCTTACTCTGACGTGGGCTTCAATTTTATCTCTCTCTATACAATACAGCAACGTATACGCTATGCTTATGCCAGAAAAGAAAAAAAAAAACCAAAAAGAGATTCCGTCTCTCTCTAACCCTTGCTTGCTTGCCTGTTTTGCGCGTCTGTACGCTTAAATGGATGGATGGAAGAAGCCAGTAGATTCCAGATAAACAAAAATGAAGCTGCTGCTCTCCAGGTCGAGTTCTTATACCCACAGCACAGTCCAAGGGATGGCCGCCCAAAGTCAAATTCAACCAGCTTCATTCTATCCTCTCTCCTCTGCTTCTCTCTTACATCCTCTTTGCATGCTTTTTTCCATTTTTTCTCGCATGTGATGCTTCTTCCTTCTGTTATGTTATATTAGGGCAATGTTTTAATAGTGGATGGTAGATGGGCATGTCGTGTCGTGGGAACAGTTTCTTTCTCAACAATCGAACTAAAATCTCTTTCATAAAATAAAAACGGATGGCTTGCACGACTTCTCTTTATAATTATATTCTACGGCTAGCTAGCTATATTATCACTATTCGTTGCTTGGCTTCAGCTAAGGTCGGTTATTTTCTTTGTGGTTTTCTCGTGTCTGCAGATGCAGAGCCAACTAAGAACTAGCCCGCCTCGTATTCGTCTTGAGTGAATAAATGTAAAGTCAACATAGTAAAGTATAGAGTAGCAAAGAGTTGATTGGCATACTCGAGATGGTTGTCTATATATATGACATGACCCTTGACCATCGACACCAATAGGTAAACAAACACGAAGCGTCAACATAGTAGTCAACAGACAAATAGTAAACAAACAAGTATCAACATCAACATCAGCAACATCAACATCATCAATAACATCATCACCAACCACCATCTGCTCCTCAGAGTGGAAATGCTAGTATGGCCTTTGTCGGCGCTTACAACTATGTGCATATGCTCCACTGTCTCATCATAGGAAGCCCAACATCTTCAAAATCGCCAACTCGAACAAGACAAAAGGCAGAGCATGAGTATTGTCACCGTCCGAAGACTCAAATACCAAATGTGTAAAAGGGGTCAAGTTGTCATAGTTGCGTTGTGTAGGGGAAGTGAACGGGTCTGTATGTGTGTGGTAGGCTCAGATCGAAAAAGCTGTTTGTATGGCAAGGCTCACAACGAGTCCCTTAAAGCCGAAGCAGTAGGGTCAAGTGCGTGTCTTTGCTCTCTGTTTGTGTCATCATAGCCATGTGTATTCCACAGAGTGGAACATTCCAGTGCATGACTGGGTCGAGAAGGACGAGTAGACACCCTAAGCCGCCCGAGGGAAGCTGGGAAATAGACTCGTGTAAAGAAGGTAGAGAAAGAGGATGGTGTAATGTAAGAGAAGCTGGTATGGTGTAGAAGAAGTGGAATGCTATGTATATAGCGCGCTGTTGGTGGTGGTAAAAGCAGAAGGGGAAGAAAAGGGAGGTTGGTTGTTGTGTACAGCCTGGGAAGAAAGTGACGTGCAAAGGAAGGATCGACCAAGCTGGTTTGCTGGCTGTCAAGAGCGAGCATGAAGAAAGGAAAGAAAGAAAGAAGAAGGAGAAGAAGGAAGGAGAAGTAGGAGGGTCTTTTTATATCTTTCTGGCAGGCGCCTGAGGCTAGGCGAGGTTTGAGCTACGCGTTCTGATTTGCTAGTCTGACTTGCCTGGTTTGGCAGTAGCAGGGCCCAGCCTTCCTTTTTTGTCATGTCCTGTCCTGCTATGACGACAGCAGACGAGGACGCGCGGCGAGGACAAAGGACGGTGAGGTCAGGTGGTATAGAAGAGTGGACGGTGGTAGCAAGACGTGTTCTTCAAGAATGTATTAATTGCTTGATTTGATATTGGATATAGTAAAGGTATCAACAGCAGCAGTTTGTCATTTTATTTCCCCTTCCTCCACAACCACCTGTTTTTGATAGCCGCGTTTAAGTCGCAGCAAAACGCCCAGAAGTAGATTAAAGCAGTGTAGAGTATGAAATAGGAGATAGGAGAGGGACGGGTAGGAGATAGGTTTGAGGCTGTCTCCTTTTTTTTTGGTAGTTTTGCTATCATAGTAGACTTTTTCTAGTCATCACCAAAGACAGTAAGTAGTGAGGGTATTCAAAATAGTAAGTAGATAAAGAGGCAGTGATTCATTAGTTAGGACTGGGGGGTATTGATATATTGCTGTTGTTTTTTAACACGAGCAAGGGAGAGTGATACGGATACGCGTTGATCTATCTTCTTTCACTGCAATCTCTAACATAGGTAGAAGGTTAGACGAGGTTGGAGCAAGTATGGCGGATAGATGATATATCATCCCTATCATCGTTGGTTCCGAGCACTGCGTCTCTGCATGATCTGCGGGCTGCTGCGGATGTGTGCTGTGCTGCCATCTCCTGCCTGGTTCTGGTTCTGGCTGTGATTCAGGCTATCGTCAACTAGAGTGTTGGCAGGGCTCGTTGCCTCGCTGCTAGTAAACGTCTCTGTGATCCTGTTGCGGTCCAGATCGTGTCCCATGCCGCTACCTAGATTGTTATTATCACTGTTGTTGTTACTGTTCATGTTGATGCCGGAGCCGACATCGCCAAGACCGTTTAGGCCATTGTTGGACGTGCCGTCAAAGTGATCGAATGTATCGAAGAAGTTGGGTGCTGGCTGAGAAGGGTCGGCGGCCAGCGTGTCAAAATCGAACAAGTCATCTGTTTGGTTGCTGTCAGTTGTAGTAGCATTGTTATTATTGTTGTTATCGTTCTTTCCTCCTGCTGTCGCTGCTGCGGCGGCATGAGTCTGGTTTTGGCCGTCCTTGCCAGAGTTCTCGACGCCCGGGATGTCAGAGAAATAGTCGCCGCTGTTGAAGATGTTGTCTAGATCAAGCGGTGGAGGCGGTATCTGATTGTTGTCTATCCCTGGGATTGACCCTGTAGGGCTGAGCGGCTGTAGCATGTTGGTAAGGTGCTGCACAGACCTAGCCTGCTCCGCCTGCATCTTCACCAGGTTGTCCAACTCAGAACGTGTGCTAGCAAGTTGGGCTGAGTAATTGGACGGCATCTGAGGCGCATGGGGCGCAATTAGAGCATTGTTCTGGGATGAACCAGATGACGGATGGGCAGCGTTGTTCTCATTCGAGATCAAGCGGAGCATGTCAGCGCGCTGAGCGGGCGTGAGTGGCGCGTTACCGCCAGATGTTTCGAGCGAGGAGAGCACAGTAGGAAAGTCAGAGGGATTGGTAGAGAAGTTATTGCGTGCGTTGGAGTTCTGGATAAGGGACATGATATCTCGTTGCGGGAGGTGGCCGGGGGAGCCCTGGTGCTTGGGATGGGGATGTGTAGGGTTTTGATTCTGGTTCTGGTTCTGTGTCTGCGGCTGGGCCTGCCGGGGCTGACCCTGGCGTTGTTGCTGTTGTTGAGCTGAAGCAGTGCTGTTCATCGGGCTGATGGGGTCAAATAGTTCTTCTACCTCTGAGACAGGCTGCACACTGGCCTTGTGGGGACCAGAGCTGCTGCGTTGGTGGCCCACAAACGGATTGTTGGTAACATTTGGAGACATGGTATTGCGCCCACTCTGGACGTCGCAAGTAGGAGGTGCACCAAGGAGGAGTCTTTGCTTCTTAAACGGGGGCTGGTTGGAAGTGAGTTCCGATTCATAACTATCTGCCAGTTCGTCAACATCGACAATATTGCCTGACAGGCCCTGGTGGTCTTGGGATATAGCTCCGGCAAATGAACTGGCTAGCCCCTGAGCACCCTCGTGGCCCTGTAGGCTTCTGTTGTAAACAGTAGCCAGGAAGGTAAGAATGGCGTTGATCGAGTTTTCATGACGTGTATGTTGCTCCTGGAAATTCGCAGCCTGCTCGTAAAGTTGCTCATGATCCCTTCGTAGCTTCTGGATTGTGCTTGAGATAACATGCTGCTGATGTCGAATGGCTTGTAGTTCACGGTAGACATCCGTCAGCTGGTCTCCATGCAGCGTCCCTTCCCCAGATCCGAGAGCAAGTTGGCCTCGGAATCGTGCCTTGTCTTCTCGGCCTCCAGCACCGCTTGGACCTCCGCCGCCCTCGTCTCCAAATTCCTCGCCTTCAGCATCATCCACGTCAGGTTCCAGCTTGACACGGCTACCTTTTGAGCCTCCTCTGCCCTGTCCAGATACATTTTTTGGTTTTTGGATCAACCACAGCAGGTCGGGCTGTCCACGCTTGAAGTAAGGGTTCGAATATTCGCTGGGGCTCTTATTCTTCCTCTCACTGGCTCGCATTGAGTTGTCTGATAGTCCAACCTTCTTGTGGAAACCATACATGTTCAATTGTCGCACAAACGAGGCATAGTTATTGTGCTTTGAAGAGCTCCGGTATAAGAGATTTCGCAAACTCATCCTCATCCTGGACAATGAACGAATTGCCATCCTCAGACCATTGAATTAGATCTGCATTTTTCGAATCGTCGAGAAAACTAATGGGCCACCAGTCAGTAAAGATTTAGGTGCTTTTGTAGATAAAGAGGGCGGGTATAGAAACGTACCTGGTCAGTTTCTGGATGAAAGGAGGTATATGTTTCCGCTTGGCCTGTGCTTCCTTCTTAACTCTAAGAGCTCTCTGTCTCATCTCTTCCTCGGTCTCACCGGTCCCTGAATTGCTAACATCATTTGTGCTCAATGAATTTTGGTCCATCATCGGTACTAAGTTCTGGTCTCCCATCCTAGCGCGACTGATAATCTGGTTGTTTCCGGGCCGTCTTGTAAGTTGATTCGACATCAGCCCAGATCCATCATCACCGGCTGTAAAAGCAACGCTATTAGGATTTGGCTGATTTACACCGGTACTTGTTGTGTTGGGTGCCCACTGTTGTAGAAATTGCTCGTTTGAAAGCTGAGAGGGAATTGGGAAGTTCGGTAATGGAGGCATCTGCTGATGAGCTAGCGGAGTTGCTCCTGGTGCAGGCCTCTTGCGAGAGAGGCTTTGAGATGACATGACGTATGATATCTTGATATTTCAGATAATAATAGATCCCCAGCTTTGAGCTAGTTGTGTCCCTGACGTATGGAAGTATTGACCCGGGAAAGGCACAAAAGGCACGTGAAACGAAGATGTATCGGTATCGGCTTAACGAGTATTGCAAATTGTTCTGTTGTCGCTAATATGATGGAAAGATACGTATGTATGATAGGCGTCGTTGATTGTGCTGTCATGGGCTTATCTGTTCGATGCGACGGAAACTCGGCGGGGAGCGTGGGACTCGACCGTTAAACTCGACAGATCACCTCGAGAACCCAAATTTGCCATCAATCACTCCGCGCCCTTGGTTTTTGATGCAGGATATGGGTGTGATAATCTTTAACTCTCCTCGTCCTATCTCTTCAGCACGCATGCAGGCTCCGAAGCCTTCTGACACACCGCCTGCAGGACGCAGAAAACGAGGGGGGAAATGTCACAGGATAGTCGAACAAGGCGAAATACGTAAAGCCGGCAGTATCAGGGTTCTGGAGGGAAAGATCGGTTGCGCTGGTGCTGCAAAGGGCAAGTGAATCTGTTGACATGCGCTGGAGAACAAGTCAACTTTCGTTCTGTCTCCCGCAGAACTGATATTACGTTAGATAGGCAAAATCGCGTCTGGAAAGCTTGGCGAAATGTCAATTTTTGGTTGGCTCGGAAGAAGCCTCGGATGCTGAGTCAGCTAACTCTATTCGTACATCCGAGAAGCGAGAAAAAGATGAATAACAAGTTGAAAAGTTGAAGGGAATAGAGGGAGAATGAAAAGGATAGATGGAAGAGTGTGATATTTAATAGATACAGAGGAAGACAAGCTGACATTTAGGTGTGTCCCTGGCTTCTTTCACTAGAAATAGACGCGGTCAGTAGAATCAGCCCAGGATGTTAAGCTATGCAACTACATTCTTTTGGATAAGGCTGCTAGCCTCTGGCTAACCATTTGGTGGAATAGGCTGGCAGCGTAGAAAAGGACAAGCAAGCTCTGAATAAGCTCTATACAGAGCATTGTTCAGTAATATTCCTCTTCTAGGAACAGGCTATTACAACAATAGAAAACAATCAGACCCTTGGTAGCCTCCCTCTGTACTAGAGCCATGAATAGCATTATTGTCAACACAGAACTCCATCAAAGGCCTTTCTGCTTTATCTCACAAAAGCCCTTCAGGACTCGTTTCAAGACGTGTCTCAAGGAATGTCTCAACCGCTCTTCTGTTTCATACTAGCGGGACAGCAAAACTGCTCTACCTCCTTTAACTCTTTCATCAACTTGCGACGCGCATGGTACGCTCTTAGGCTGGTTAGGATGACATGATCAAGTGCACGAGACCACCTTGTCATAAGCCACGTTGAGGCCTGTTCTCAATCTCAAACTGTGCCGGTCCACCTCTTGGAGAATAGTTTACCTTGGCATTATCCCTGGCTCTTCGGAAGTATCCGCGAGCCTGGTGGATAGCGCAACTGTCCTGAAGAATAACTTCTGCTTTAAGGCATGTTTCGCCATGGATATTCCCTACAATATGTGATCAATGTCTTACTGTTAGGGTTAAGGGTATGAGTTGTTTTTCTAGACGGCAAAACGGACAACGCCGTCTCGCCACGCAGATCATGGTATTTTGGGCCAGCACAGCACGCTATATGGCTGAGTATGATGCTCCCACTTTCCCCTAAAATTGACCTGGCCAGTGTTCCTGGGATGAGAAATATATTGGAAATAACATAAGGTATTAATGGAGCGTGGGAGACACCACACGAATGTGCTAGGGATAAGGTTGAGCTAGGCGGCGAGCTAAGCGCCTCTTGTGGATCAAAACCGGTCTAAGAGACGGGATATCCATTCACTTCCCGTGTTCAACGGTTGTTCTAGAAAGATACTCGAGTTCTTCAGCTTCAAAAAGAGAAAGCAGATCCGCAAAACACCCCTTTATGTATCCTGTTTTTACCTTGTAACATATTTTTCACAGATTTCAATATCGATGATTAATATTAGCCAATTAGCCGACAAACGCGCTTGTCACGTGGAATAACCGCATCGTAAACTCCAACCAGCGAATGAACAAATTTCTTTGCAACCTCTAATGACAACACGAGTCAATCAATCGCTTTATCGGTGGACGGGCACAACCCCTGACAGGGGGTTCTTAGGGTGCCTCTATACACCCTGATATACTCCAGGGAATTATACCTCATTGGGGCCACTCATTTTGCCGGTTACCGGCTCGCCTCATAATCTATGGCAGATTACTACCTTACCCATCGTCATATTTCCTCGATGTTCTAGCCATAGCCTTGCACCTTGGGGGTGTTCAGCATGATTCCAACTTTTATCATGAAATACTAGCGATATGATGTCCCAGCCGAAGTATAGGTAGCTTTTAGCTACGGAGTACTCCGTACTGCAACAAAGGCAGTAGCTCCACTACCATGAATACCTCGGTCGCAAGGAGCCCAATGGCTCGATGGTACGTGCAACATCAGGACGAAACGATGCCCCGGCGCCCCCATGTCGAGTATTTCCATATCCATGGAATGATATAAGGGGTCCCCCACTCGGCTACGTGGCCACATGGATGAACTTCAGTCACTCGAGTCAATCAAACCGGGGTTGTTGAGCCAACGGGTTACGGTGGTTATGGCCTTTCGATGATCTATAGCTTGGAGACTGCACCAAATTTACCCATGGCGATCTTTCACCGCGTCATATTCGGTGTCTCAACGACTGCTTTCCAGGCTCAATTAAATGGGAGTATGTGATCGCCTTGGACTCTTCTCGGAGAGCTTGACCTGTCAAAAAGGCACTTTTACTCTCATTAGACCTTTCCCGCGGAAGCCTGGGGCAGAACGAACCCATCGACGCGTCTTTAGTTAGTTTAGCGAATGAAGATTATACATGATGAGGCTGTTCCCGACAAGTACCAGTCGAGACAAATAACAATATTCCTGGAGCTTTGGATACCCTCTCCATTAAGTGTTGGTTCCATTTTTCATTTGTAAAATTGAATCAATGCTAAAGCTTCTCAGTCACGTTTTCAAGGCCAGATCTGGAGACGTGTACCTAAACTTATTGATCACTCTTGTATGCGTATCACATTGCAACACAGACGTGGGAACATTTCAGAGCAAGCTAACTAGACCAATCAAATACCGCGACAAACGACCTACAAACCCTTTATGGCACTCAAGTATTAAGTACCATTTATTGATACCCTACTTTATATAACAATCTTACCGTTAAGGCTACTATTACCTAGATAGCTTCTCTCTACTCCGTCAGCGTGGACTAAATATCGAGCCGATTATCAGCCCTGTAACATTTTATTGTCATGAAAAAAGTGTTCCTTTCGTATTTTTGTTGCTAGGTCACCCACGCCATTTGTTTTGGTCGTACGGAGTACTGCATCGAATTTTCTCGGGGAGAGCAAAACAAAAATCATGCGAGGTCAGGATTGCATGGCCCAGTTACCCGGGTAGTCCTATCGATAGGCGTCCATGAACACCGTGTTTTTCTGACGCTGTGTGACACACATCAGCACATGATGCGAACGGTGCTCTGGTCACTAACCAGTCTGGTCCTAAAGGTTGTGGCGTATATCCAAGATCCAGCAAGACTGCGATAGGATAGAAGGGTGTTATCCCCTGATGCATTTTCCCAGGATTGAGCCGCATAACAGATGTACGGGCGGGATGGGCGAAGAGGCTGTTTGGTGTTTGCGTATTGAATCATAGGAGTAAGGAGCCAGTCGATGTATATAGAGCTACGAAGCACCCTCCTGTTTGTCTCCAGACTCATGCATTAAACTATTGCTCGATCGTACGCATGGGCCGAGCTTGGGGTGATCGTCGTGTTTTGAGAAAACTATTAGCTATTAGTACCTGGAGCTTTTCTCTGATTGTTTCTTTTTTGTACGGTGTGCACTGGCTGAAGAGAGCAGACGCAGCGTGGGTGTCTAGGAGAGAGTAACTGTGCGATGCAGACGCGCGGGCTATTTAAACAGGTTACTAGGCGCCTATACTCCGTATTCCATATCAGCTTCGAGCGTCGGAGGGTTTAATATCAAGCCGTGATGACAAACACTCTCATTAGACGGCAGTTGGAGGTGTTTGCATACATAAGGAATGAAAGGAGGGAGTGACAAGAGGTACTCCGTACGGAGTAGTCAGAATTCAGTGCCACCGAGGCGACCATCTTGGAACTGGTCACATTCACCACCAGGGCCCGACGGACATGGTCAAGTGGCCGTGGCGGGCGTTGCAGATGGACGTAGTTAAACGAATGAAACAAGCGAGCAGGCCTTGCCGTGAGGGAGCAAGGGGATGAACACAGGAGGCGAGCTTCAACTCGTCTTTCTCTCCCTTTTTCCCCTTTGCCTTCCGCTTTCTCCCAGCTATCCAGTCGGCTGCATCGAACTATCGATATACGCCAACTAACGTTGGAACCCGCCCTTCAGGGATCTGTTGTTGGTCGACAACATAATTTTGGGTTGAGGCCCGTCTCTGGCAATATTTCTTTTTCCTGTCTTTTGGGTTGTCTGTGGATGGAATTGGTGTAGATGAGGAGCCCTCCGTTCCTCCTGTCGGGGAACTAAAAAAAAAATAGGGAGAAAAGGGGCAAAGAACAGACGAAAGAGTCAGGTACGGACGGAGACATCAAGACTTCCAGAATACGCTGGCATAGCCACCCTGGACGAGTCTCAAACAGCGTCTGGCCCTGAATCATCTCGGCTGAGCGTTTGGGTAGTTATACGGGCAGAGAGGAACTGCTTCCGGCTGGCTGTAAAAGGGGCAATACCGCGGGGAGAGAGGCTGTAATATTCATAATTAGCACGTCTGCCTGCATCACTGAGGTCGACTTACTATCTTTCATCTACCCATCGCCCTTTCATCGCCGCCGACCGTCGTGCTGTTCCTGCGTGTCTTTTTGGTGGGTGAGTGGGTGGTTGTTAGTCTGCCGTAACGGTATTACCATAACTAAACCACCACCATCTATTTTTTTTTACTGCCGTCGTGACCGCCCTGGGACCTCGTCGTCTTTTTTTTTTCTTCCTCTTCTTCCTCCTTCACCAACTTCAACCTCACATCCTCCTCTGCCTCTTCCTCTTCCCTCACCATCTACATCGTCTTGCAGAACACCGCTGCAGTTCGCTGTCGTGCTTGATAACTCTCTCTGCTCGGTCCGTTGTTTCCGCCTGCGAGGCTTCTCGCTTCTCGCTCGTCGAACCGGGGGTGACTGACCTTTGCTGAAGGCCCTGCGCCCTTGTAATCCAAGCAACCTCAGCCAGCTCTCAGCTCAGTCGGCCGGTTGTTCTCTGTTCATCCTATTGAACAGGCTCGCCTCTTGATATAGAGACGCATTTTCGGTACTTTGACCAGTTGCTTACTCGTTGTATGGCGGTGTTGACCTGGTTCTAGTCAGGGAAGAGACACGGGGAAAAGTCGCCATTTTCTCAACACCGAACAACCTCCCTACCTCTCGCACACGTCGACTGAGTTCCATACGGAGTGGAGAAGAAGATATCTTTCAAGGAGATCGGGCAGGCAATTCTGCTGTACCACTTACTGCCTTTTTTTTTTCGCTTCCAGCCAGGAACTGCTACCTCTTCCCCCCCTTCTCTCATTCCGGAAACAAAAACAATACAAGTGCGCATGCAGACGACTCAGCTCTTTGGCTAGCTTATGCTTGCTGTTTCGTTGTCTTGACGACCTTGACGTTTTCGACGAACTGATGACCTCCGCCACCCGCCTGATATACTTTTAGACAGAATTCGTTGCCCTGCGCGTCGGCCTGTTTTCGTTTTCATCAACACCCCTGCCCGACCTGCAGCTTAGTCTCTTTATTCCATAAGGTCTAGCCAGATCTTGCAGCTATCCAATACAACCGTTCCATCCCTTATCACCACCATCATCTCCTGAAGAAACACTTGCTGCCCATCATGAGTGGTTACCAGGACATGTACAACACCTCGTCCGCCTCCCGATCTCCGGGCTCCCACCGCCATCCACCACAGCAGCTTCGTCGTCAGCCATCACGCCAATTTGACGCCTACGGGCCGATGTCTTCCACTCTGTATGAAGAGCCTCCGCTTGGGCGTTACGATACAAATCCGTTGGACAGGTTGAATGCTACTATGCCGAGTGGCTCATATCCTTATGATATATCAGGCTCTCAAACGTGGAATGCAAACAGTGTCGGTCTGGGTGGCTTGGGGGTTAACTCTGCCACTGCCACTTCGAGGATGAGAAATGTTCGTTCACGCACCGCTCTTCCAACAGTAAGTGGAGTTTCTGTGATATGGATATTGAGGCAATAGTTGTATTTTCTAACCATTTACAGACCTGGTTGGATCAACAGAACAGTCTGCCAAACTCTTTTTCTCTGGCCCCTGGTCAACATCAGCCATCTCCTCAGATTCGTGCGGAGAATCCGCATGATGCTGAAGATGAACTCATCCCAACAGCCATTGTCATTAAGAACATCCCCTTTGCCGTGAAGAAAGAGCAGCTGATACAACTTATGACGGAAATGAATCTGCCGTTGCCATATGCTTTCAACTACCATTTTGATAACGGCGTGTTCCGCGGTCTTGCTTTTGCAAACTTCACCTCTGCCGAGGAGACAGCTACTGTGATCGAGCTGCTAAACCATTTTGAGCTTCAGGGAAGGAAATTGAGAGTGGAGTATAAGAAAATGCTCCCCGCGCAGGAACGTGAGAGGATTGAGAGAGAAAAGCGTGAGCGTAGAGGCCAGCTTGAAGAACAGCATAGGCCAATGGCTACCTCTCAGTTGCAGCATCAGACTTCCATGTCTTCATTGGCATCACATCTGCCAACCACCTCCCCTTCGCCTGTCTCTCAGCGCGCAGGTAAACTAGGTATGTTTCCTTTTAACATACAATATCTTCAGTTTCCCGTCTTACCGGTACTAACATCCGTTTCCAGAGGTTGATATGAATGATGCACAGACACTGCAGTACTACTCACAGCTGCTTTTGTTCAAACAGGATCTTAGCAAAGAAGCTCTCATTTTTGGCACAAATCTAACCCCTGCCCAGCGTCGGATAGTACATACTATCTCTCATAACATGGGCCTTGCCCATACTTCCCGGGGAACAGGAGACCAGCGTCAGGTGCACGTCTACCGAGCTGGCCCCGGTGCTAATGTCAGCCCCCCTGTCCCAGCCATTCCGGCAACAGTCACTTCTGACGCTGCTCGCCGTGGTCTCTCCCGTGCGGCTACCATTGACTTTGGGGAATCTCGCCATGAACAGCAAGCTTATGGCAGTAGCATGCGCCAGTCCTCGTTCCTGAACGTCCTAGATTCTCCAGGCCCGGGCGGATACGCAAATTCCCAGAACCTTCGTGCTGCCAAGTCGTTTGCAGACCTGCGTTCTTTCACCCCGTCTCCCGTCCCATCTTCTGCCAGCTTCCCTGCTGCTTTGCAAACTAACGGTGCTCGGTTCCAACAGCAGCAGCAACAGGCCTATGATGCCGGAACCAGTGGAGCCTCCAACACTCCCACGCTCACCCCCACCCCATCAGGCTCATCTCTTGGTATCCAGCGTGTCGATGACAGTCTTCTCGTGAACAGTCTAGGAGGCCTATCACTTGGTACCTCGGTCACTGGGCCATCTGGTTCTCCTCGCCGCACACGCGGTATCTGGGATCCTTCTGACCTCCCCACAACTACAGCGGGATCAAACAACGGCTCCAGCTCCACTGCCGGTGCTATCGGATCTAACCGTGCTATCGGACTTGGATTTGATGGTAACCAAAGCCAGGAGCGAATCCCAGTGAGACAGCCTAGAGGTCCTGCACCGGAGCGAGGTCCTGGATTCCGCCGCCAAAACAGCCACCAGCAGCGCGGCAGCGATGAGCTAAGAAGCAATCCCGGCGTGGAAATTATTGTTGAGTAGGAGAACCAACAAATAAAAATCAATAGAAGATTCTGGACCCAGTCGATCGATAACTCTGTATGCCCATACTGAACGAATCCATGACCCCTACGAAGACACGAAGAAAAGACATAAGCGAAACAAAGAGTTAAAGCCCATGAGACTTAATTTAATATACAATTTCAATTCAAAATACGCACCTGACGACGCCATGCCGAAAGGAAGGATCCACGACAATCCCCTCATATATCAGACAGCAGTTAAGTCCAGGGGAAGAGAGCACAACAACAAATGAGAACAATTCAACAATCCCAACCAATGCACACGCCAGCGTCCCCTTTACGATTCGATGATGGATGACGAAATGACTTTACCGACCCCCAGAAATTAACAGAGGAAGAAAATGAATAAAAAAAAGAAAACAAATAACCAGCCAAGGTCCCCACAGCAGCAGAAAAGGAACAAGACGAGCTGCAACCCCAGTTTTTACCCGTCGCCGCCATACCAGAAGTCCCCAAAAGTTTTTGACGATTTTATTTGCTGACCTGTCCTGTTTGTGTTTCATTGTTTGTTTCATACTGGTTTAAGACATGGCTAGATTTTAATAATCTACGGTCGCCGCCATCATCGCTTGCCACAAATGATGTCTGGATCGACCCTGGGGCAACCCAATCCAACCGAAAGTCAATCGATACCAACGTTTACAAGTTTCCTTTTTGTTGAACGCTGTTTCGATTCCAACCACCGAGTGACTGGAAATTGGAAAGCTTTCAAGACGACGGGATGAATGGTACACTTTTTCGCGTTTATTCGTCTATTTTGGTTTTGATTTTGTTTCTTGCCCTCGTGTTGAGCTAGGCCCTCGTCGTTTTTGTGTGTTGAAGTCCAGTTTTTGCCTGCGGTGAGTATGGAATGGCGGAGGAAGAGAAGGAAAACGGAGATCAAGTTCGAATCTAAATTCGAATGATGAATCTCAAACGAGAATTTCTCGTTGAAAAGGAAAGAATTATTAACGTGCCATGGCGACTGCATTCCCCTATCTGTTATCTTGCCGTTTACCCCATTTTTGCCTTGATTTACTGTCAACTACACTGCGCAACGCGGCAGCTCGCTAATTACCGTTTTACCGAAGACGGAGATTAGTATGCCGCTGCGTTTCCCTTCATCCCCCGGCCCCCCTGCTTTGGTTTTGTCTCTCTTCCTGTGCATTCTTTCTGCTATTGTTCCTGTTTCCAAGGACCTATCTCGATAAGGTCTAGTCAATTGGGGCTGCTTTTCTACTTCCTCGAAGTCAGCTACTTTAATTATCTTTTACACTCCCCTTTCTTCTGCCCTTTTCCTTCCCTTTTCTTTTTCGTCGGTCATTTTTCTTAAAAAAATCATAAACAATTTCCCGAGTTTCCTGTTCATCTCATCTCTACTCCCGTCCCATCTTATCGGCTTTCCGTCCCGGTCCTAATGGTTTGGTCTAGTTTGTGGTATCTGAAGGATTGGTTGTTCTTCACTGTCCTATTTCTTTTCTTTTATCAAAGGGGGAAAAGGTATTATATGATAGTTCTTTTCCTATCAGGTTTCTTTTATTTTCTATCCTCTTCCTGTCTTTTGTCCTGCATTTGCATATCAAAGTCTGTGTTTCTGTCTATGTTTTTGTTTGCTTTTTGTCTCGCCTGGTTTGTGATCAAACCCGTGTTTAATGCTGTTGGGGAACACACACTCTCCCCCTCCCGACCTGGTTTTGAAATGCTGTATAATTTACTCATTTTGATCTATCATCTACATCCACTCTACGGTTGTTACATTTATCTATTTAGAGGGAGAAACACAAGGTGGCTTGTCCCCTGTCAATTGTAAACGTAGTGTCAAAACACGCCATAGTGTTCATTGTTATATTCAATATCCTTGCTCGTACAAACCAGTCATGAGCGACTACTCCCAGCCTTCTTAGCATCTCTTCGATCCCATTCTCTATCCTGCCCTGTCTCAAGTTTCCTTTTCCTTTCACGCTCTCTCTTCCTCCCGCCGGCACCAGTAATCTCTTTTTCCTTTTGCCGGGGATCAATAACAACCAAATCATCATTTTCCTGGTGTTTTCGCTTCCAACCTAGATCTTTTCCAAGAGTGTCTTTACCAAATTGAAGTGTATGCGTCATCCAACCTGTGTCGTCGTCGTCGTCGTCGTTGTCTGCTCCCCCAGCCCTTTCTGACTCAGGGGCATCCCAAGAACGACATGATAGACACCCGGCAACAAAGTGAAGGTCACAGACCTGTTCTTCTTCATCGTCCTGCTCGTTTGGCTGTTCTGTATCTTTCTTCTCTTCTGATTTAGAGCTGGTATTGTGTTCTCGTTTTGATTTGGATGATTTAGAGGTAGATTCTGCGTTTTCAAGCTTGGCTTTGAAAGCATTGAACATGTCTAGTGCAATTGCATCTTGTGACGAGTTCCCTGCCGCTGTCTTCTTTCTAGCTCCGCGTATTGATGTTTCTGGTATCAGTGACTCTAGAGCTGATTTCTTCCTGGCGGGCTCTGCAGGTGCAGCAGCCGTGCTCCGCTTCATAGATGCCTTGAGCGCAGCAATTTCAGCATTTGTTTTAGAGAGTAATGACTGGCGAGGCGGTGGCGATTCTGATACTGAACTTGAAGGAGATGCAGAGCGAGATGGTGATTCAGGGTTGGGTATTGGAAGTTGTGAGTTTGGATCTGGCTCCCGAGGGGGTGCTTTTGGTATCTCCTTCTTTTTCCTGGCAGGGAGCTCGGTGGGTGGTTGCGCCGGCGCTGGTTTATGCGTGTCCCCGTCAGCTTTCTTACTTTGCGCCTGTTTCTTCGCTACCGATGCAGCCTCCTCCTCTTCCCTGACAAGTCGGGTATTGAACTTCGGCTTAGTTGGTGATATAGCCTCGCCATCCTCTTCGTCACCCGCGAAGCTCAAAAGCGCCTTTCCCACTTTAGCCTTTTTCTTCTTTTTCCCCTTTACAGGCGCTTCTTCGGGGCCCTTGTCCGCAACAGCTATACGTTCCCTCCGTTTCAATTGCCCTTCGAAAGGGCCCAACTGATCTATCTCACACCCAGTAATCTTCACAGCGTACATTGGTCGGTCAGAACCTTCTACCAGCTCTGCCTCTGCAATGCTTGCAACCTTGTATATGCTCTCTCCTTCCACCCTACCAAACATAGTACAGGTATTTTTCAAATCTCTTTCCACATTCGCCAGTGTAATGAAGAATTGGCTCCCGTATGTACCATCCTCACTTTTCGCCAGGCCGAGGAGGCCGCGCCTGTTGAACCGCAGCCGGCTGTGGAATTCATCTTTAAATACGACCTTTTCGCCATCACGCGGATCATACTCAAACTCAGGGTATTCGTATATGGAAGAGCCTCCTGAGCCAGAGCCGGTAGGATCGCCGCCCTGGATAATGAAATTGGGTACCACGCGGTGGAATGTGGTGTTCTCGTAGTATCCATCTAGACAGTGCTGGAGGAAGTTCTTGCACGCGAGCGGTGTCTGGCGTGCAAATAGGGAGATATGGATGGGCCCGACGGTGGTATGGAGGGTCGCAGAGGCTGTTGGAGGAGGCTCGGTGTCGTAGTGGGCAGACATGTTTGCTTTTCAAAGCTGTTCTCGAGCTCTGGTTGCGAGGGTGATGGGGAGGTGGTTTGTTCGTGGAACTCGCTCGGGAGGCTTGAAGTCACTAAATTAGCTACCTAGGTACCTAGCCGGGTGGCTCCCTTCTCACTCTCTCTGTTCTGCCGTTCAATATCTGCAGCAGAGACTCCCTAACATCTGGCTCACTGAAGCGGATGCAATTGGGGTTGTATGAGTTGACACTGAGCCTGCTTTGTGTATATATATGGGGATATATATATATTTTGTTTATTTGTAACTACCCATCCCTATCATTCATTAATCATTAGGACTTTATATACCTCCTGATCAGCCAATCAATAGCATCAAAAATATTGTAACTTGATTTATTGGGCAGACTATTTAGCTTTGTTTAATAAAATTTATGATTGGCTACTTAAGTGAAAAATGTGAGGCTCGGGGCGGAGTAATATTGTTACAGGCCACCTGATGAGCATAACCGAGGTCCAGCTCGGATAGGTAATAACGCTTCCATGTTTACTGCAGCTCTTCTCCAAGGGTCGCCTCGATATCCTCATTGCGGCCTATCAGCAGCTCCTGCGCGGCTTTCCTCGCTGCGGCATGCTTGCCGTAGGACTTCACCTTCAGGTCGACCCTAATCGTGCCAGGGCTATGCCTCGTCTGTCCAAAAAGCAAGGAGCCCTCTCCACGCGAAGCGAACCTCTCGTCCCGTTCAAACGCCTCCACGATAGCCGCATCCGTGGACAGTCGCCTAACAAACTGCGAATACCGCGCAACATGCAGCCCTATGACCAAGAATATCTGGTACCCAAACCAGACGTACCGCAGATAGAGAGGCATAAAGAGCGTCGAGGCCACCAGACCCAGCGGAAAAACGCATCCTAGCAGGAAGATGATGGTGAGCTGGAGACTCTCCCGCGTGCGGCTCCGGCAGGGGTGGCCGTAGTGTCGCATGAACTGTTGTATAAGGGCAGGCGGGCCGGTAAAGACCATGAAGTCTCCATTAGACTCAGGGCTGTGGATTTCGAAGTCGCAAGGGTGGTCTTTGGGCGTGAGTTTAGGGGACTGAAGGGGTTCACGGTGGACGGCGAAGAGGGCGCTTAGTAGCCGCAGTATAAGGGGCGCGAGCCATAGGATGGCCCAGAACGTCTTCCAGATTACCGCAAGGATAACGGCGAGGATAACGGCTGTTGACTCAGTGGCGAGGAGCAATAGAAAGATGCGAGGCCCGGGTGTCTTCACGCCCTCGCGCACGCATGGTAGGGCAGCAGAAGCCTTATCTTCTTCCGTTGCTTGAGAGAAAATCAGGTGGTGGCAGGATATCCGGGCTCTGACCTCTTGGTCTCGTGCGATTTCTCGCTTCTCTTCTTGCCTGCTTCCACCGTCCAACTGGGGAGAACCCAGCAGGCTTAAGGCGCTTACCCACAAGCAGTTTCGGATCGCCTTTGGCTTCCCTGTGAACCCCAAATCGTGCATGGTGTAGGTCCATCCGATCTCCCTGAAGAATGCAGTGCTAAGCATATGCCCACGATGGGAACCGCGAAAGAGGCCATGCCGGTGCAGTGCGTCAAAGGTCTCCAGGGCGGCTTTATGTAGCGGGCCGCCCATGGGCATTAACAACGCTGCTGTCGCGGCCGAGCGCCACGAGAAGTTGGATAGCTGCCGTTGCGGCCAGAGGAGATGCTCAAACGGCGCAGTGGTTGCGGCTTCGGCACCGACATAGCCAAGAAGAGCACCGAGTGCAGCGAGAACACCGTTATCACCTTCTGCCATCATGTCTAGATGCCAGAGGCTCTACGGAGTAGAGATGTCGTGAACAACATGATGTTGTTTTATCACCATCTCTAACCGCCCAGATAGCTTTGCATAGTTCGTCTGTGAGCTGGCACCTAGGTGGTCAGAGTTGCGTAAGCGCCGGGGCCAAACCAGACAGCCCCCTTCCTCATGCATATTCTTCGAGGGCCGGAGGCAGTAAGGCTGCGGCCCAGAGTGACGATACGTACATATAGAGGGGGTCGTGCTGTTTTACACGCATGGCATATCACATTCTCGCCGACTTGCAATAGTGCTGGATCTATGAACTATCCCTCGAACGACGAACAAAATCGAGCTGGTGGCAGCAAAGCGACTAGCACTGGGTAACTACCCGATCACCCCGGCCCTAGCTCTAAGCTTTGATCCCTTCGTGTTAGTTATGGCGGTTGATAAGCAGCTTTTGTAGCCTTAGTATTCTCGGCGTCTCCCCAGAGGTAATTCTTCTAGTAGAACTTGGTATTGGGCGGGAGACCTTTTTTCTGGTCTTTTTCCTGTAGAGATCATTAGTAGGTATTCCTGAATAAACATAGGGGTAGCGAGACGACAAGCAAGCAATTGCCCAAAACTTTCAACAACAGCAGCTTCAAACTCGAGCCCCTGACGTTCCTTTTCTCTAATTAAGCTGTTTTTGGGGAGAACAATTGCAGTATCAAATCATTGTGCTCGACTCGGGCAGAGTGAATTTGCTGGATGCCAATAACTGCCTTTCGAAGTTTCTCTGGTGTGTAATTGACGCAGTCCAATGGCTGATGCTTCGACAGGTACTCGATTAGAATGGTACAGGGAGGGTTAACATCTTGTTGAAAAGCATCAAGATGAGGAGCACAGGTCGCCGGGTCGATATCTACCACAAACCCGTAAAACTTGGGAACGAAACCGGCATCACATATTCCGAACTGTTTGAGGCGGCAATAGGCTCGAATTTCACAGCGAGCGCGGTTTAAATCACGAAGACGGTCAGGTGCATTTCTAGGATCTTCGTTATTGTGGAACTACGTCTGTATCCTGATTAGAAAAGAAGACAAACGTTGAGGTTAGGAAGAGGGCACATACGACTTTTCAGGACTCGCGCCTTGCCATAGTAGTTGACATGAAATATTGACGATGCCTCTGAACTTCTCAGGGTTTCGACGAACTCCACCTTTTCAAAATCAATGTTGATCTTGAGGCTGTCATCAAATCCTGTCTCATCACGGTAGATAGTATCAGCCTTCGTGGCCAATTCAATACAAGTATTTGCCATGAATATTGGGGTGCTGATAGCGAGTGAACCGACCGCTTCATAGAGCTAAACACGCGTAGGGAGGCGAGGATGATCTCATCAAAATATTTCCTGGATATATTTAAACACAGATGACTCAGGTCTTGATATCTCAACTAATAATTATGTTTTATAATGATACTCGAGAAGCCCCCTCTCTTTCCCGACCAAGATAAGCTCTTTCTCTATCAGCTCTGGTCCGGCGGGCTTTTTCTGGAAGAAAGTTGGGTCCGCTAGATAGTGTTTTAAAGCCCCGTCAGCGTCTATGTATGCTTTATACTGAAGGATATCTAAAGGCAGTATTTATCTATAACCTTCCATCAATGGGGTTAATTGTTAATAAATATGATGAGAGCAATTAGATGTTGAGTAGTTTCAAGGTAAAATGAATGTGGAATCGTAGTTATATAAAAGCAGACTCAATAACTCGTATGAGCCTGAGGGTCGTAAGAACATATCAATTCATAAGGACATTCTCTTCCATCTCTCTCTCAAACGGACCCTTTGGACATTTCGCCGGCACTATCTACCCGTTTATTCTTGCGTGCGATAGTGAACCCGCCAACAAAGAAGACAAGGGCCTGCACGCCGAGGATAACTGAGAGCGTAACCAAAGCACCGATAACGCCAGCCACGGGCTTGGAGATGCCACTGTCGTTGTTGGACGAGGCAGAAGGGCCAGATGAGGAACCGCTGGAGCAGCCTTCACTTGCGCTACCACAGGCCTGGCACCATTGATCCTGAGAGGTGATGGCAATCTCCTTCATGTACGAGACAAAGTCGGACCAAGGGAGGAGAGTCTTCTCCTGGCCGAAGAGAGGATAGACGGTTGGCTCGGTATTAGATGTGCCAGGGATGGTGGTTCCGTTGTGGAAGAGGAAGCGGACACTAATGTCAGATTCAGCCGGGAAGGAGTCAGGAGAAATTCTGGCGTTGGTGACAAGTTCAAAGGCCATGGTGGAGGCATAATCTGGTATACCGTTAAAGTCATTGTTGGCAGCGGGGAGCTTGGTCAAGCCAAAGAAGGATAAGAAAGTAGCATATGCTCCGAACTGGACGTTAACCTTTGGCTTGGTCTGGTGCGATTTGATGGTGTCCATGAAGGAGTTGAGCACTTCGCCGGCCAAGAGGGCTCCGCTAACAGCACGGATGGGCTCCGAGGCATTGTATGCCAAACCGTACTCATGGACATTAGCCAGGGACTGTAGCTGAACATAAACATTGCCTGGCAGAGATGGGAAGGAGTCTGATGAGTTGTGGATGGAGGCAACGTTGAGCAGGTCGAAAACGGTATATGCATTCTTGAAGCTGACTTTGTCTGCAGGAATACTGTCTTTCACCAGCGGAGTGAGGTCCTTGTAGAAGCTCTCAGTCGACTTGGACAGGTCTTTGTACTCCTTGGAAGCGAAGTAGTTGTTGCTGCTGACTTTTGCGTTATGGCATGCACTGGCGCTCTGCAGCCAGGCGACGTTCTCACTGTTGGAGCCAGACTTGACCTGCTCTATGGCAATGAGCTGGTATCCATCCATTGGAGCCTCGACGACGGTGCCATTACGCAGAGTCGTCTTTGCTTCCTTGCCGGCTGGCGGGTAGAGGCCCTGGAAGAAGGCGAGGGCTGACTTTTGGAGGACCTCGTCCTGGGGAGCCGAGGCCGTGATCTCGCCAGGAGAGATGATGTTTGGGCTGATACCTAGCACCTGCGAAGAAGACGAGGAAGAGATGTATCGGTCACGGTAGTATCTGCCAGACGAGTAGACCTGGCTGTATCCCAGGTCAGTCAGGACAGTGGGAGGAGTCGACTTGGACGTCCGGTCTCCATGGCGAGAGAAGATGTAGGCTCCCAGCACCGTCTCTGCTGCAGTAGCCTGAGCCAGCAGGGAGACCGTCAACAGTGACGCTGAGTTCAACATCTTTCTTTCTTCGTTTCTCCTTGTATCAATTGGTCCGTTGGAAGTTCCTCGGTGGCCTTTCTGTCGTTGTTCGAGACTGAAAAAGTCCCGCGGCTGCGTAGTTATACGTAGCTGTACGTATATCGAGGGGACTCGTAGCTAGATCCTCTGGGCTATCGGCAGTCACCATCGAGGGGCCCAAGTGGGGGATAAACTGGTTATATACCTAGTTTGATCTAGTTATCCTTTGTTTTCTCCGAGGAAGAGGCAGGCTTGCTTTTGCTCGTTTTGACCGGGGTTTTTTTGGTGACTGTGGGTGGTGAACCGTGGAATCCTCTATCAAACGGCGGGCTGCTGTTGGCCGGATATTCGCCAAAGAGAAGAAGCATTTGCCTGTAATACTTCCATTTTCGTCCGGTTTATGTAAAATAGAGCAAGCATCTTAGCTGCGTCTTCCGTCTTTCCCGGTGTCCCTGTCGTTTATCTCTGGATCCTATGAACTGCTGAGAGTCTTCGACAGGCATCAAACACGAACACACGAATCAGAATCATCGGTGATGCGAGCCTTTGGACGATACAAAGAGACTCCAGCGTCCAGCGTCCAGCGCCTCTCAGCTTGTCCAGCCTGTAACCAATTCCTCTGTTCCTGGGGAGGACTGGATGGTTGTCTGCCCGTAATCAAGTGCGCCCTTCGGTAGGGATCTCTTTGCTTCTTGCAAGGGCGTTTCACTCCACAGCCGAGGACCCTTTCCCCTCTGCAGAAGCCGGAAATGCTTGACATTGATGTTTTCTTTTTTCTCGAAGCCTTGTTGATGCTCAGGTTTGCGGGTTAAGTTGGAACCTGGAGCTGTCGTGTGTGCTTTGGCTGAACTTCTGCATAACTGGTTGAACCGACCTTGACGCTCTGGGTCTGACTTGATTCAAAACCGCTGCACAACGAGATGTCTGATAAGAAGGCAAGTCTCCTCCTCGGAGAGCTCGATGTTGAACATCGAGAAGCCCCGAGACGCCCTGGCTGGCGCATCATGGCTCAGCGGCTTGCTCAGGCTGTCTGTTTGGCCGGCGCACTCTACGCCTGCGTCTCGTACGGCCGCGTGAGCAGCGGAACAAGAGGCGTCGATGTGGATAGGCTGATGCGAGAGAACCCATTGATAGGTAAGCCGAGCTAACTATCTGTTCGTTCAAAACATGGGCATGCATGGCATCTGGCTGAGATGTTGAACAGATACACACAATGACTTCCCCGGGCTCATTCGCGGGCTGTATGGGAATGACATCTATCAGAAGAACTTCACAGTTGAAGACAGCTTGCCCATGCATGTAGACTTCCCCAGGCTTCGGAAGGGCCGTGTAGGAGGTCAGTTCTGGAGTGTCTACGTCGACTGGTAAGAAGAACACTAGCATTGCTAGCTATACGGGTTATATCAATTGATTCACGGCTAATGTAGTCAAAAGCCCGGAAGAATCAGACAAGTACGATGATTCAGTTTATTCAAAGAGCGTGCATGATACCTTCCAGCAGATCGACCTGGTGCAGCGGCTCATCCAGCGATACCCGGATTTCCTCGTCCGCGCCATGACAGCAGCAGACGTGGAGGATAACTTTGCGGAGCAGCCAGGCAAGATCTCCAGCCTGATGGGCATCGAGGGCCTCCATCAGATCGGAAACAGTGCCAGTATCCTTCGAGCATACTACAATCTCGGGGTCCGATATGCCACCCTCACTCACTTCTGTCACAATAAGTACGCCGATAGTGAGCACCCTGCAAAGCCTCTGCATGGCGGCCTGTCAGACGCCGGCAAGGAGATGGTGCTTGAAATGAACCGCATAGGCATGATGGTCGATATCTCGCATACCAGTGCAGATACGCAGCGAGGTGTTCTGAAAACCTCTCGTGCACCGGTGATATTCTCTCATTCCAATGCCTTTACCGTCTGCAAAAATACAAGAAACGCGCCGGATGACGTACTGCATATGCTCAAGGAGAATGGAGGTGTTATCATGGTCACCTTTTTGCCGGGTTATGTCAATTCGTCAGGTAACGCTACTCTATCTGATGTTGCTGACCATATTCAATACATCGGTGACTTGATCGGCTATCAACATGTTGGAATCGGATCTGATTTCGATGGTATGAATGGTGTTCCCACGGGGCTTGAAGATGTCTCTCACTATCCGGATTTGATTCAGGAGCTGGCCAACCGCGGTGTTCATGTTAAAGACCTCGAGAACCTGATGGGCCACAATATTCTGAGAGTCCTGCGTCAGGTCGAAAAGGTTTCTGCACGGCTGTCCAAGTGTAGGAGACCACTCCAGGATTATATCCAGCCACGGTAGTCGGTTTTGGAGTCATTAGTTATATTTTGTATATTCGCTACGAGTATTATTATTAGCACACGGATGCACCTTGACGAACAAAATTGTTGCAGACTAGGAATCAATGGCTAGTCGTCTGTCTATTCTTTCATTAATATATCTTTATCGCTCATTAGCTCGCAGCCAGAGCGTATAACACCAATCATACCGCCCGTCTGTATAGACTCACTCCCGCCCCCTGACAGTCTCCATTCCACATCTGCTAGTCCTTCTATCCAGGAAACCCTGACTTGAGCAGGGACCTCTAGACTTTGAAGTTCCGTCGACAGTGCGGAGATTATATCAGCCAATGCTAGGCCTTTATTAGACTTGAGGGTTTGTACGGTATTTAAACACGAAGTCACATCTGACGTTGACAGTAAGGTTTCGAGAATCATTTTGATGTCAGCTGGGTGCGGTGCAGCGATGCATGTGTATATCGTTTCTTCAGTTATAGTTTCCCTGTCCTGCGGCTGTTCACTAGTATCACCCTTTTTTGAAGGAAGCGGCATACCTATGTCCGACTCGTCAGCGCTCTAAACACAGTGAACAAAGTAATGCAATAAGCGAATGGCACTTACTACTCGCGTGACAGGCTTGAAGAACATTGAGAGCTCGTCTCATATCTCCCTTGCTCAACTTAACCAGACTGTCAATGGCATCTGGCTGTATCTGCACTTGCTCCTTTTCTATCACGGTATCAACTAGTCTTTTGATATCCTGCTCCTTCAACGGACTAAATCGGAACCGCGTGCATCGAGAAAGGAGTGCAGGCGAAAGCTTGTGTGTGTAGTTTGCAATAATACAAAATCGGGTGTTGGCCGTGTACTTTTCCATAATTCGACGTAGTGCCATCTGAGCTGCGGAGGTCATCGCATCTGCCTCATCAAGAATAATCAACTTGAATGCCCCCAGGCCAGATCCGGAAGAAGGAGCTGTTGAAAATATTTGCTTTGTGCCTAACCCATGCATCTTAGTAAATCTGCTTTGGCTCTATGGTTGCCAAGTAAGGACATACTTGCAAAGGTTTTGATCTGTTCCCTCACTACATCGATTCCTCTATCGTCACTTGCGTTGAGTTCTAAAACCATCTGGCGCATGTTTTTTGACCCATAAATCCGCCGCGCCAGCGCGAGGATTGTGGAAGTCTTTCCGGTTCCTGGAGGGCCATAGAGCAGAAGATGAGGGAGTCTCTAACGTGGTATCTTAGTAGAGGCTCCATACACTGAATATAATGGTCTGTTCTCACGTTTGATTCGACAAATCTGTTTATCGTCGCTATGATATCTTGGTGTCCAGAGACGTCGTCGAGCGTATCCGGGCGATATTTCTCAACCCTATCATGTAAATTAGCGTTATATCATACATACTAAGACGTTTCCGGTTACTCACCAGGGAAGATTATCTCCCGCTTCAATCGGTAAATCAGCAACAATTCTCTTCCCTTTCACGTCTGTAGGGTCTGCAGTAAACGCGGCCGTGTCACGGGCTGGCGGGGCATCGATGTCCATATCATCTTCATAGTCGGACATTCTGGCATATATTGACAATCTCTAGGTATTCAGTAAGTAGATGCCAGTAGGTTGGTTCTAGAGATCTATCTTTAATATTTGCAGAGTCTAGGAGGAGCAATTGGCCTTTATCAACTACTTTTTGATAGCTTAATCTTCCGTTTTTGACGCGCGCTCGCGGCGCGTTTAAAGAGGCCGGGAGCGGATAAACAAATTCCCGCTCTTCCGCCGCCTGGCGCTGCGTAACTTCGGCCGCTATGTCATCCCGCCATAGTCAACGAAGCTCGCCCTTGAAGACGTGGTATCAGACAGATAGACGGCACGCAACAGGGCACAGGAGTGAATTCAATCCGGCTTATTTCTGCGTTTACTGTGTTATATTTCTGCAATAATGCCGGTGAGCTGTCAAATATTCTTCCCACTAGATATATTGGTACCTAACTCACAACCCAGGCCTACCACTCCATCTTCCTCGATGAAGCCAATGTGCAGACCATAGGTATGACATCCACATAGATAAGCTCCGTTATTTCCGTGAAGTAGATACCATACTGCTATGAGGGGATAATTGCTTACTCGAATCAATAGGGAACTTCCCTATCCTTCCCCTCCGCACTCGCACACGAGGTCCGGCATACACACTACCTCTACTCCCTCCAGGGTCCTCCGACCTCGATATCGACCCAGACAGCGAATCATATGACTGCCTTGATGAAGTCCTCTCTCTATACCGTGCGAATACATTCTTCCGTAATTTCGAGATCAAAGGCCCCGCCGACCGCATGATGATATATGGCATATTATTTGTGAGCGAGTGTCTCGGCAAGGTGAAGCCGAATATGTCTTCAAGGGAGGCAGAGAAGGTATCATTATAATTCGGTTGGATGGGTGTGCATCTGGCCAATCGATGTTGACTCTTTTAGGCTCTTATCAACGCCTCCCTCGACCACTTTGCGATACCTGGCGACGCTGCATTCCCTCTTAACCAAGCATTTGAACCTCCAAGGGACCGCCAGGATGCTGAGGCTTTAAGACAGTACGTTGTGTTTCTGCCCCATGCAGTTAAGCTTGGTGAAAGCGTACCATGACCAGGAATTAATAATATGAACCCAGATATATATCACAAGTGCGACAAGAACTTGCAATCCGACTTCACACCAGGTTATATCCCGGAGGTGAAGGGCCATCTAAGGTAGGCTATTGTGCATCTCCAACGGAAATTTTATGCTAATGGTGTGACCGGTAGTGGTGGCTAAGCTTTTCGAAACGGAAGTTTATGGGGAAGTCCCTGTAATACTCTCCAAGGATAAGTTATGTGCGCGGTCTTTACTCTCGATTACGACATTCTGGACTCATGCCACTCCCACTTTGAGTCAAAAGCTTCCGGTAGTAGAACTATCGGTTAAGTGTATCTATCTTTCATGAGCATACAACAAATGAATGAATCCTTGATTATACGGGTCCCGCTGCTTTGGCTTTCATGTTCCTACACGATTTTAGATTGTCATCCAAGCTGTCTGCACTTCTAACCTACACAGGCCGGTCAACTGGATGTTTCCGAATTCCCTTGATCCTTCAATCCTACATATTTGGCTTGACGCAACTTGTGGACGGGGATAAGACTATGTTCTTAAAGCCGTGAACCGGACTTAAGGGAGAGGTACTTGCTTATGTCATAAGGTAATGTCCGGGCTCATATGTACAAGATTTGGATTGCGGATGAACAAACATATCCGAAAGTGTCAGATCCTCTATATCAAGGGGGAAAAGGTGGGAGCGGTGTTAACGGAGTGCTCATTTTCGATAGCAGACAGGTTATTGCTTTGACGTCAAATACCAGGATAACAACGATATAAATATGACCCGATACAACCCTCTACAGCCCACTTTCAGCTGTCGATTCCATATCCTGCAATCTACTCGGAAATTTTCAACTTATCCAGATATCAAAATCACACCTTTTTTTCAGCATGTCCTATCTACGGAAGGTTGCTATTGTCGGGGTGAGTGTTGAACAATTCACAATTAAACATCCTGTCCATAAGCTGATTGGACTCTTAGGCTACTGGGAATATCGGACGACCTATTGTTCGAGAGATCCTCAAGGCCCAAAAACATGAAGTGACCGCAATCACACGAACTGTTAGCAAAGCTGTGATGCCAGACGGAGTCAAAATTGCGAAAGTCGACTATGACAATCAGCCTACCCTAGTCTCTGCGCTACGGGGGCAAGATGTTCTCATCATTACCATGGCCAGTTCTGCCCCCAAGGATATACAACTCAAACTAGTCGAAGCAGCAGCGGAGGCGGGAGTTCCTTATATCGTCCCAAATGGGTGGGGGTCGGATGCAAGCCATCCATTGTCTGACGACGCTTTTATTGGGCCTGGTCAGCGGGAGATCTATAAACGTGTCGAGGAGCTTGGTAAAAGCAGCTGGATCAATTTCGTAACTAGTTTCTGGTACGAGTTTAGCTTGGTCGGAGGCACTAACTGCTACGGATTCGATATCAAAAACCGCTCGGTGATATTTTTTGATGACGGCACAGCTCGCATCAACACCTCGACCTGGAACCAAACGGGAAAAGCCGTTGCAAATTTCCTTTCTCTAAAGGAAAAACCCGATGATGGCGAGGATGAGCGCATGGCCATTTCAGGCTTCAGGAATAAGAATGTTTACATCTCGTCTTTCCTTGTGAGCCAGAAGGATATGTTCCAATCCATCCTGCGGGTGACCGGAACTAAAGAAGCGGACTGGGAAATCACTCATGAGCCGTCGGAAAAGCGATATCAAGCCGGGGTTGAATTGTTCAAACAGGGAGAACGAATTGGCTTTGCGAGGGCCTTGTACACACGCGTGTTTTACCCTGAGCGCCCGGGATTTGCCTCTGGTGCATATGAGCCTGTTCATGGCCTTCAGAATGACTTGCTCAATTTACCCAAGGAAAATCTTGATGAACGGACAAAGTTTGCTATTGAAAATATCGAGGAATTCCGAACGGGCTACTCTGACATCAGGTAGTTAGATCGGGCTCTGGATAGTATATCACCTTTCACCGGGATAGGGGAAGTATGGAAGTGAATAGTGACGGGAAGTGCAACATTGAGCAGTTGTCATGTTGTGGTTTAGTTTCCGCCCCCTGTTTCTCAAATGTGTTTCTAATTCTAGTAACTAAAGCAGATATATAAACTGCCCAATAATCTCAAGAGCGCTGGCAGGAAAACTATATTGTGCATGCACTAGATCCGTAAATATAGATCGTCAAGGGAAGCATAACTTAACATTCGCCGATTGATTAACGAGTTAACTGGTTAAGTAAGTACTTACCTGGTAGTTAAATAAGTGTTTCGTCTCTGGGAGGAAAACCATTGGTTGCTTGCGGGGAGCAAATGATTCAGGAGCAACAATGTGCTCTGGATATCTATCACATCGCCGTCTACGCGGACAGGCAAACAGGAAAGAATGCCGTCTGGTTGCTCTCAAGATATCGACTGCGGAGTCAGTAGACAGAACTCATGAAGCACGGATTCTCTCCCGTCTTACAAAGAGTTAATCAAGCTTTCCTGGAAAGATAACCAATGGATTAACCAAGGCATCTATGTGATAGAAGCGGAATTTTCACAAATACCATCTCCCAATGGTATTCATCTCAAATGTAACAATTATATGAATATCTGATGGCAAAGGTTTACAATACAAGAAAATCTTTCACCCCTTAACCGCAAGTAATGTTAACATTACTCTTCTAAGCTCTGCATTTGTACTAGGTTAGCATATTGTCCGCCCCTTAACATTAATTCCTCATGGCTCCCTCTTTCAATGACTCTGCCTTGATCTAAAAAGTAAATCTCGTCAGCATCTCTTATCGTTGTAAGCCGATGGGCTACGCAGAGGGTCGTCCTCCCTTTGCGAGCTGCGTTCAATGCCTCCTGAACAACTTTCTCGCTGTCAGCATCCAGGGCACTCGTTGCTTCGTCTAGCAGGAGGATTTTGGTGTTTCGAAGCAGTGCACGCGCGATAGCTAGGCGTTGCTTTTGGCCACCGGAGAGAAGAGTACCTCGAGAGCCGACTATAGTCGAGAAACCATCCGGGAGAGACATGATAAATTCGTAGATGTTCGCCTCCTTGCAGACCCGGATGATTGCATCGTCTTCGACATCTTCACTAGACCCTAGAACAATATTATCTCGGATGGAGCCCTGGTATACTGTTGGCTCCTGACTAACGAGGGATATTAGACGTCGGTAGTCATTGACGTTTAGTGTAGAGATGTCCTGGCTGTCCACGAGGATCTGTCCGGTGCTGGGGTCGAAGAAGCGCTCCAGGAGCGAGATGACGGTACTCTTGCCACAACCACTGGGGCCAACAAGAGCCACAAAGCAGCCAGGCCTCACAGTCAAGGTTAAGTTATCCAAAACCAGTTGCCCAGGCCTAGACGGATAGCGAAAGGTAACGTCCCTGATTTCTATCAACCCTTGACAGCTCTGGATTCTTGTTCCTGTGGGCATGGTGGTATCAATATCTGGGATTCTGTCAAATAAAGCCTTTAGCTCTCCAGCCGCATTTGTTGCCTTGGAAATATCAGGGGCGAATGAGAACACCGCGCCGACAGACTGTGATCCTGATATTAGCGCTGCAAAACAAATAAAGAATTGCAGCATTGAATATTCATGGGTTGAGATTAGTTCACCACCATACCAAAACCCCAAAGCCGCTACTAAGAATACACCACTCTGACTTGCGGCGTAAAGCGTACTTGCTTTAAGAATACTCTTTAGGGATCTAGAGCTTGTGGTAGCAAGGATTGATGCATAATGTGCAAGTACATGGTCCTCAAGTGAGAGAGATGCAACAGTGCGGATAGCAGTTATAGCTTCAGCTGCATAATTTGCGGAATCTTCATGAGCCTTGCGAACTTTGGCCTCAAAAAGCGCTAGCATACGGAGACGTGCCCATCCGCAGCCAAGCACAACAGGAATTGTTGCCGTACAGACAAGTGCTAGTTTCCAACCGATAACCAGAGAGAGGATAATACCTCCACCCAAGGTTGCAAAGGCAGTGAGGATAGTGCCGAGAACAGCACCCGAGAGTCCGGCAAGCTGGGTAGCCTTAGTCGAGAGAAGGGCTACAAGTGCACCCGTGGAATGCTGTTTTTCATGGAAGAAGGAAACCTGCTGGCGAAGAATCGAGCGAAAGGAGAGATTGCGAGCACGCAGGCTGAGGCGCTCAGAGGATAGAGAGAAACTGATGCCTTGGCCTACCCAAGCGAGGAATGCAACAAGTCCCAGTACCAGATACATAGAGGCCCAAAAGCCAATACGTTGACGGAGGCGATCGTAAAAGGGTGGAAGTAGAGAGAGAGTCTCTATTGAGTTTGCAAAGAGAATGGACTGGCTATATGGGAATTGGTCAGTAGAAATACCTTCGCATGGAGGGGCGTTAGAATAAGAATGTCGCTTACACTGGGTTAACTAAGCCGGCAACTGCAGCGCAGACGAGGCCGACAATCATGTATATTGCCTCTGGATGGTTCAATTTCCATACCACCTTTGCAAGAGCCCAAAGAGTATATGTGTTTGCATTCTCTGCCTGTTCAGATGTCTCGCCGTTCTCGTTATTCCCATCTTTGCTGCGTTTTCCTTGCACCATTGAGTGCCCGCTGGCTGGTGGATGCCGTTTCTCATCATTATTTTGCACTTCCTCATTATTCTTGGACTCCACAACATCACGATCTTGGGAACTTGAATGCTGTTTCTCGACCAGGTCTTTATATATCCCATTCAAGTCCATCAGTGTTTCATGGCTTCCCACTTCCAGTATTCGCCCTTCCTTTCCAAGAACCACAATTCTATCAGCCTTGCGGATAGTTGACAATCGATGGGCGATTATTAAGGTAGTTCGGCCCTTTGCAGCTGTTTCAAGGGCATTTTGGACTTCTTTTTCCGCTCTAGAGTCTAGAGCACTCGTAGCTTCGTCTAGAAGTAAGATTTTCGGATTTGAAATCAAAGCTCTTGCGATAGCTATACGCTGTCTCTGGCCTCCTGATAACTGCAGCCCGCCTTCACCAACCTCAGTTTGATAACCATTTGGCAAGTCCAAAATGAAGCTGTGAGCGTTGGCACCTTTGGATGCTGAAATAACTTGCGAGTAGATTTCTTCATCCGTCAGGGCAGAGGGTGTGGCCGGCGCTCCTACGAGGCCGTGTCGAATATTATCAAATATTGTAGTTGAGAACAGGATTGGTTCTTGTCCGACTAGGGATATTTGCTGGCGTAACCAGCGTACGTTGAGTAACCTGATATCCTGGCCATCCAGCACTTGACAAGGGTTGTTAGTAATTATACACACCACTAGATAATATATTCGAGTTTATACGATGAACTCACAGATTTTACCCTTCACGGGCTCACAGAACCGTTCAATCAAGGCAACTATGCTGCTTTTACCGCAGCCGCTCGCCCCCACAAGCGCTGTTGTTTGGGTTGCCGGTAAATGTAGATTAACATCCCTCAGGACTGTTACATCTGCCCTATTTGGGTATACTAGGCTGACCCCCTGGAGCATAATATCGCCTTTAACCGCGTCATCTGGAATTGTACCGCCATCCGTGCTCAGTGGATCAATAGGCGATCCTCGCGAAATGGTACTAAGGACTTTACTTGCCCCGGCAATGCTAGAAATAAAAGCTTGTGCATTGGGGGCAACCTTTCCCACAGCCAGGGCTCCAATAACGATGGCCATCGTAATTGTGATGATATTAGAGCTTGGGACTTCACCAGCGACCTGGAACCGCGAACCTTGCCAAAGGGATAAGCCGTAAGTCAAGTGCATGACACACATGAACGTTGCTGTCATAATAGCGACTATCGCTCGAGCTTTAATACCAGCCTTCTCGGCAAACAGCAAGTAAGAGAAGTAGCGTTTGGCGAGAGGTTCCTGGATTCCAAATGCTGTAACGTGTTTGATGGAGGATATAGCCTCCTCCGCTATCACAGCGGCCGTGCTATAATTTTCCAAGCTAATCTTGCTATAACGCACCGCTAGTTTCATGCCAATGGCATTGGTAGCTGCGATCACCGCGACCGAACTAGTGAGAACCAAAGCAAGCTTCCAATACTTGACATATGCGATGATGAATGCTGTAGAAAAGGTTGCCGCCGCGGTTAAGGTAAGTGATATTTTACCAGAGATCCCTTCTTGTATGAGGTTCATATCAGAAGTGATACGTGTTGCGACCTCCCCCGCCCCGAGGATATCAAAGAATGCCAGGTTTTGACGAATAACAGATCTGAGATACGCACGACGAAGGCGCTGTGTCAAACGTTCTCCCGTATAGAAGAAGCCAACTGTGGAAATGTAAACGAAGAAAAATTCGCCAATGGCAAGATAGACGAAGTAAACCGTAAATCTGGAGATGCTGGACCTTAGAGAAGAGCTAGATATTATACCATTGCTGAAGTCCTGAAACGTTCCCACTAGTTGGCCATAGATTACCTGAGATACTCGTTAGTCACAGAAATTGGATCTGGTAATTGTAAAGAAAGAGAAAAGATACCGTAAGAAGTGGATTCAAGGCTCCAGCAATGATAGCAGAAACCGAGCTGATTGCTATAATGGTGACATCAAGCTTAGTTGCATAAGCAAAAACCGTACCAGTGCCTTGCACTCTCGGCAGCCCGTTCAGTTGTAGGTCTAAAACGTCTAGATCATGACTCTCTTCTTCCGCTTCTGGCTTTTCATTATGATAGTGGCCCTTGTTGACAGGAACGGGTAGTGAACTGCCAGCAGCTGTTTTGAGAGCCGACATATCTGTATATTCCTGTTAGTAAAAGGAAGGTTTCATGTGGATCGTCAGTGCTTGTTAGACGAAAATTCAATCTTACCTAACTGCCCGTATAATTTTTGTCTGGTCTTTCGGGAATAAAAAAGATAAGTAGTTGACTAAATAAGTACAGGAAGATGCGGGATGCACCAAGGCTAAATAGCAGTTACTCCATGCCTCGCTATCGTTAGTTGGAGAGCGAGCTTGCATTTTGTCTTCTCCATCTCGGCGGTGCCGTACTTGCCTGTCCTTGTGCATGGGAGGATATGTACTGTGTGCATTGATATCGGCCAGGATAACGGATATAGTTATATAGCTCCAACAGGGGAGCGTTAGTACATCTAAGCCTATCGGAACCCTGCCGACCGGGATAGCTAACAGCACTGGAGAGTTCGCAAGTCAGATCAGAAGGCCTTAGACCATCCCCAGCTTCCGATGGTTATGATTAAGATGTTGGTTATAGATGCGATATCAGTCATGATAAGTTTCGAACTCCAGGTCTCCCTTGCTGACGCCGGCTCGACCCCAGGAATCATTTGGCTAGTTACTGCAGTAACTAGTTAGTTAATAACTACCTATAGGTAGTTACTAATGCATGATATTATTGTCTATTTACCACAGGAAGCCCCGTAGGATAAAATCCAGGCCGGACTAGGCTATGTAAATAGATACGTAATCAGTGAAGGTGAGCCTCATGGAAGGGATGAGGTTGAAGATGTAACTTGTAAATGGACGAAATCTCTGCTTGTAATGTGGATGGACGGGGGCTGACTAAGCCGTAACTAACTCGTTCTAGTTAGTTAGTTAGTCATCCATTCCACATTGCGACATATGATACTCTGGTCAGCGCTGTCGTGTGGGCGGATATATTTGACACAGTTATACGGAGACTCCGTACGTTAACTACCTAAGTTAATGCAAGGATAACCACTAGGTTATAACTAACCAGTTATTGTATCATTAACTAGTGGTTATAGAGGAAAAGTATCTTCTTGGCTCTTCATCTCCATTTTGGCATGAATGTGATGGGGATGACTTCTCTTAAGACATTTATCTAACTACACGACTTCAATCACTAGGAGTAGGCATACTCTAGCTTACCATGCCAGTAGTTTGCTTCAGTTGCTGCTGTAACGGCCCATGCCGCATCTAATGCCTCTATCACTTCATGAGGCAGCGGCCCCTTTTCCAAGTCTTTCAGGTTGCCTTCTAGTTGTTCACAGCTAGCAACACCAATGACAACTCCATCGCGGCCTCCGTCAGATATATTCAGAGCCGAATGATGCACAATCCACCTGAACGCAACCTCCAGCAGACTAAGGCCGTGTTTTGTCGCTGCAGGCTCAATGATACGCAGAGCTTCGAAGGTGGCATCCTTGAAGTAGCGTGCTCGATAAAGGCTTCCCAAGCTGTTTTCTGGGCCGCTGAAACGCCCTTCATTTGGTACTTCAGCGTTTTTATACTTGCCCGAGAACAATCCAGCAGCGAGTGGGTTATATACTACTACATCGATTCCATAACGTCGACATGCTGGTATCAGCTCCTTTTCAAGGGATCGATCTGTTATCAGCGTTAGAACACGGTTTCGACCCTTCCGGACACGATCCAGCCTGACGTAGACATGCAACTCAAAGACTAGGAGGAAGAGAATGTACTTACGTAGTGCATTATATTTCCCCTGATAGATAGAGGGAGAAACCCATCCGTTCTCTCGACATAATCTCACGATTTCAGCCACCTCGAATGCAGCAAAATTGCTGAGTCCAAGTCTTTGGAAAAGGCCTTCCCTATGCAACTTGTCGCATTCCGCGAGCGTCTCTGCAAAAGGGGTCGTTCGGTCGGCAGCATGCAGGTAGAATACGTCAACCGAGCCCACTTGAAGCTCTAGAAGAGATTTTTTGAACGTTTCCCTGAGAGCCTCTGGCTTATGGTCGCCCACATTATTAGGGTAGACTTTGGTTGCGATACTCAGTCCAAGCTCCTGGAATCTCGTCTTGGCCGTGAAGGCTTCTTGAGAACCTCGACAGTATACCCGTGCCGTATCAAGCTCACCATGTCCATATGAATGGAAGAGGGAGAGGCACTTGTTGAATTCATCGAGGGAAGTTACCCTAGCTCCCACCGATGCATCTGTGCCAAAGGTCATCAGGCCAAGGATTACCTATATGTTGTGATGATAGGATGTGGTCAGTTTTATAAACATTATAATGGAAAATTTTCGGATTGGTGATCCCATCCTTCGCGACATACCCTGCGCTTTGGTGGCTGTGCTGAGACAGACATGTTTGTGATAAATGGTCGCTATCTGGTAATGTCTATGGAAACTGCGTGCTGGGTAACTAGGAAAAGTTACGACTAAGAACATGCTATGGATTATATATTACTTCTCTGTCGTGGGAAGTCCTTGTCCTGCGCGAATTTTTTTCCTATCTCAAGACCTAGCGGTCAAGGGATGAGTTATGCTGGCTACTCCGCCCTCCATGGGTGGGCCGGCCCCTACATCCATTATTTGAATAGTGGAAATGCACATACAATGCATGGCAGGGGAATGGTTTTCCAGGCAGCTTTTTTTTTATTTTTAAGGGCTGAAGACCTCGGATGAAAGGCAGGTGTGAACGTGAATATAGCATCCTGGTGATTATATTCAACTATAGCTGGAGCTGTCTGCTAGTTACATATCACGTTGCATATTGAACTGGCTACGGGGCACTTTCCTTGTTCGGCAAATCTTCTAACAACTTCCGATGCAACTTCTCCATACGACTACCCAATCAATTAACCCTGGTAGATGTTTGGGCTCAAGTAGCTAGTGATGCTGAGACCCTTTTTCTGGAATGCGCATGAAATATACGTCTGTATGCCACAAGACGTTTGGAGGCGATCAAATGGGGCAAACTCCTCCAGAGACTTGAGATATCCCTCCACGTATGCTCCTCGCCCGCGGGTTTGCAGGAATTTTCTCAGTCCATATGCTATTTCCAAGTCAGACTGTCCATAGTGCCGAACGGGAATGTACATTTTGATGTCCGGGAGGGCGATGCCTGGCTGGATATCAAAGAAGTAGCACATTCCACCCGTCGCATGTTCTAGCGGTGACAAGTTCTCCGATGTTGAAAAGTCCGCTGGAAGCCCCAGAGTGAGACGCCATAGCTCTTTTAGGTCCGTTATACTCTTGTCAACTCCTTGACGTCTCCCACCCATGGTAAGGACCTGAACCACGGAGTCAAAGCTAGTGTCAGACGAGCGGACGTAGACTTTTAGCCGCGATTTCGAGTCTCTCACACAATCGATACCTATCATGAATGGGATTAGATTTTTCCCATGTTCACTTGTATCCATAAACGATACCATTTCGTCCAGTGCCACCCATTGTGATGCCTCCCCCTGAGCAGTTGCCGGAACACTTAGGCTTTGGGTGACTCTTGAGAGCCGGCCCAGCACGTCGGCTTTAGCTTCACTCATTTTTGTGGGGTTGGGAGGGATAAAATATGCCTTCACAGCGAGTTGTCCCTTAAGGAGCTCGAATGCAAGGAACATTGATGAGCGCGGGGGCGCTTGGATGTCCAACGTCTCGTGCCTTTCTGGGGTGAGTTCTGGTTGCTCCGAACCGTACAAGACGGTGGCAAAATGGTGAAACCAAGTCGTATCGATGCCTGGGATTGCTTGGCTTAGCTGGTACAGAAGTTCCTTCGTCAAAGTCTGGTTTAACGGATCCAGTGCTGTGCCAGCGTAGGGTCCGATTGCTTCAATGCCGTATCTTATAACGGGCCCCGAGCTTTCATCACCCGTATCCCATTTCCAGCTATATTCAATGGGACTGAAGTCGTCAGTCATAAATGACTTCCATTCAGGAGTTGGCCCCATTGACGGTACAACTGATATCGGGCGACGGCCGAGGCAAGGAACCACAACATGGTAATGAAAGAGCAAGGCCTCGTATTGTTGATGAATACTATAGCCTGACTGGAGAAGCAAAGCAGCAAGCTGTGGGCCAGTCTTCAGCCACCAGAAGGTGTAGTTCTCATTTCGAGCAGGCAGCCATCTGGAAACATTTTCCCAGGCAGATGGTGCTTCCTTTGAGAGATATGGCAGGCAATAAGCAATGGCATCATCGGTTCGCTTATGAAATAAATAACGTTAGCATCCATGAAAACCAAGACCTTCCGCATTTTCGATTATATAACTAATAGTTATTTAAGCCCAAGCAAAAAGGTTCAGGGGCTGCCCAAGCTTGTTGGAGGGAGAGTTTCCCAGGAGAGTGGGAAGGGTAGAGGTTGGCTAGGTACCTTTGAGAAGCTTTCTTCGACAAGCTTTCCTCGTGGCTCAAAAGACAACATGTTTCCGTAGTGATTCTCCGTATGGACGTGTCAAATAGAATGTAGTTATAAGTAGCAGATTTTTGAGAAAAGTAATGATATTCTGATGAGAGGGAAATATCCATTCATACATTTCTGAGATGGGGGTTCGGTTTTTTATCACTGCTATCTCAAGGCTGCAAAGAACCGTGAGGCCCAGCAGAGAAATGTGAAGCAAGGCCACAGCGGGGATACCATGGGTCTCAGACATTTCACCCGAGATTCTGGAGCGGGTAAAGTCGCTATCACAGATGTTGAAGCGTACCCATAACCACGTAACTGTTTCTTTGCATATACGGAACGTAGTATCTGGCAAAGGGCCAGCTCCAAGAGCAGACAAGGGGCCCTCTCCTCGGAACCTATCTTGGTTGAGATAGTTATCCCGGCCAACCTGCTGGCAGCCTCTAGACCCTATAGATAGCTGTTGGAACTACATGTTCTTGCTCTAGCTATGTGGGCCGCGGGAGACAGTGAGCCATGTTGTACGGAGTATACATAGGTAGGCCATAGCTACCTAATAGCCGAGGCGATATTGAGAGCAATATCCAACTGACTGCCTTGACCGCCCAGTTACCAGTTGTCATCAATAACTACACTTAGGTATTTAGATACGAGGCAGGCCGCTCTTCAGGACAACCCCAGTACCCACTCCCCAGGCAGGCTCAACTCCTTTGGTCGCGTGGCGGATTTTGATAGCCGCTTGCTATCTCGCCGCTGCAAGGCTAATTTAACTAGTTAGTTAACTGGGTACTTATATAGGTCGGGATTCCGGGACGGGTAACTAGGAGCCGTAATAAAGGTGCGTCAAGGATATGTTCATATGTTCATCGCTCAGGCTTAACAAAAGACCAGAGTACAAGTTGGTGGCCCTGACTGCATGTGCCACCCCACGTCGATAAGAAAATAACGTTCCTAGTTAGTTAACTATAGTTAACTAGTGCTTAATTAAAAAGCAATGCTGCTTAGTTAACTGTTTAGCAGCAGCGAATGATGCGGATAGTGATCCTCTTTTTTGACGGTACATAAGTTAACCCGGGTAAAGTACTCCACCTCATCCCGCATGCATATTTAGAAACTAAGTACGCCTAACTAATGAATCTGTTATACATGCAGGGCATCAGGCACCCTGGAAGGAGGTTTCCGGTCGGACAATAGTGCAACAAATCATTCAATGGCAAAGTGTAGCCATGGGTCATAATGACAGTTTCCTATCCCGGCTAAACAAATTTATGTCAACTTTTACATAGGGCGTTAATAAGGTTCCCGGAACAAAAGCTTGGCACATCAAGACAAATGAGACACGTCCAATAGTAATTAACTAACTACTCTATGTATACTAGTTTAGCAAAACTACCGAGTTACCCAAGGGTACAGCATCTATTATGCATCTACCAACGCAACTCTTGCGCCATTCGCATTTGTACATGTCAAGGCAATGCGCTCCGTCCAAGGTTGATCATCTCGGCTCTCTATGCGAGAGAACTCTTCTACAAGCCTCATGGTTGTGTATGCTGCCTCGGTCAGGCTCAGGTGCTGGCCAGGGCAGTTCCTGGGCCCTCCACCGAACGGCTGATACATCCATGCCCCCTGGCCTTTTATCTGCTCCCATCTTTCAGGGCGGAATTCGTCGGCGTCTTCCCCCCAGAGATCCTTACGTCGATGCAAGGCGGTGACGTGAAAGGCGATATTAGTTCCGGCAGACACGAAGATGGGTGATTTGCCAGAGATACCGCCACCAGAAGGGAGGACAGTGTCAGCAATGGCCATCCGAGTGTTGATTGGAATGACAGGATGTAGGCGGAGTGCTGCAATGGTCAGCATTCATTTTGCATCCTACTCAAAATACCGGATCTGCGAGTCGGGGATACCACATACCTTCGCTCAGACAGTTTTGCAAGTATGTCAGGCTTTTGAGTTCTTTGAACGTTGGTTTACGACCACCCAGTGTCCCAATTTCAGCTCGAAGCTTAGCATAGACGTCAGGGCGTCGAGAGAGTAAGAAGAACAAGTTGGTCAGAAGGGCAGCAGTTGTGTCTCTACCGGCGAACAGAATAGTTGTCAACTCGTCCATAAGGGCTTCTCTATCAGAGGTTGCCAGGGCTAGCTTCCTGAGGTAAATTACCCTATCTGATGTTTCCGGCGATTCGGATACGTCCTCAGGCTCGGATTTGGCTCGGGGTGACTTTGACAGAAGATCGTTGGTGCTCGTGGAATTACGGTAGGCTATAGCCTCATCAACAAATCGTTCCATGAATTTCCGTACACTGCTAACGGAGTTTGTGAAGGTGGAGTTCCCGATAATCTTTGCAAGGATGACAAGCAGCCAGCGAGCATGTCCACCCTCAGCAGCCTGTGTCATATCATGCACGAGATCCTTGTTGTCGCTGAGAAGGAGGCCAATTGAAGTTCCGTACATCAGTTCTGATGTGATATCAACTGTCAGGCAAAGGAAGAAATCTGCAAGGTCTATCTGCTTTCCCCCTGCGCCCTCTCTTTTGACTGCTTGGATAAGGTGGCGGACATGGCGTTCAAATAGAGGCAGGTTGGTGTACTGATCTCGGCTAAAGCTAGGCTTTAGCATGGCTCGTTTATGCTCCCATACCGGTCCGTTTGCAAGCAGGACGCTATGAGCCCCTAATAAGGGGATGAATGCCAGCTTTCTGCGAGCATCGATGGCGAAATCTTTGAAATTGGTCGAGTGCATTGCCTTGAGGTTTTCGGGGTCGCAGGTGCTGATTACATTGGTGGTGTGCAGGCGCGCATAGTAGGTATTTCCGTGTTGTTGATATTGCTTGCGGATCCATTCGAGGAGAGTTTGTGATTCGGCAGCTTTGTTGAGGGCACTCCAGTAGTCATAGCCAAAGATAGGATCCTTATGCGGGTACTTGGGTACCGGCTGACAGTTGTATGCCTTCTTGAACTTGCTACGTTCGATGCTGAGTCTGATCCGTTTGTACACCAAGTGCAAAATAGCAACGGCTAATGCAGCGAAGAGGGCATAGGATATAACGAAGGATTTGGAATTGTCCATATTGGTTAAATGGGTGTTCAATTGTGACAATGGGATGTGCAAGAAAATGAACGTTGATAGTACGAATCACGGTTGTGAATCTTCAGCAGACAGTCGGCGGCCGTCATCTATTTATTTTATATGCCTTGCGGTCATTTGAAGATATATAGCTTGTATGCCGTATCGTATATTCTGTTTAGTCGGTTTCAGTGTGATGGTACCAACAATATATAGGTGCATTTTTGTTGACTGGCTACAACTTCGCTGGTTCCATAAAGTCATCCGTAGTTAATGGAGCTATTCCTGTCATCAATAGCACACGTAGTATATGCAGGATGTAGACGAGCCATCCTAGTCAAGGGTGGCATACTCAGAATAATCCATGTAATAACTCGGTTCTCTATAATAAACCAGCTTTACAGGCATTATGCATTAACGCTATAAAAGGTAATAAATATTTCTAGCCGGAGGGTCCATTGGAAGATGCCCCACGGGGGGTTTATAAATAGGGGGTTTCCCCGACAGGATATTTCCATCTGAAATATCTGAGTACTGCTGGGTCGCCCACATTTCGGGGCATTCATTTCTCATTTTTCTCCCCTGTATCTGTAAGCAGGTCAACGCCGACTGAGGTTCTAGTTATTGAAACTGCAGTAAAACGGCGCATCAGCATTCCCTATACAACCTATCTCAACATCTCCAACTTCCAATTACCATACCCTCACTTAACAGCCTGATTTCACTACTCAAACACAATGGCCATGAAGATTGAACTTGTTGCAACCTTGGGTGCAGAAAAATGTACGTACCTACATCTATTTCCGTATACGTCTCACTAACACTGTGCACCTAGGCCATTTTGAATGTTCGTGGGATGGTCAAAGACACTCTGTTTCTGAAAGCAGCTATGTGGATTCAGTCGACATTACAGTGAGATGTACCAAACTGCCTGGCGGACTTTGGTCTGAAGCTAGCAGCAAGGGACAGAGGCCACAAATCTCTGTCGTGATACCCTCGTCCGGGGACCTGGAAAAAATTACAATAGAAATGTTTAGAGATTCCGGAAATGCTGCCTTGAACTTTCTATCTTCTTCGTTGAAAAGTTGCGTTTCAGCTCCCAAGGACCATCACCAGGCGCTGAGGTTACTCATCCCGCGGCGAGAAGGCTTCATACTCCGCTCGGATATTTTTAATTTACGACTGCTCGACTGCCCGTTTGTTACCTCCATCGCATCTTTTTGTGAGCCTAATCGCCGGTTCACGCATCATTCAAGGGATTCACTTCTTTCAAGCTCTTGCCAGTTGACAGGCTTATTTGCAGCTTCATGCGCGGGTATCCTTCTGGAGCCATGTTGCAATGTTGAATCGACTTTCAAGACTCTGGATCAAGAGCTGGAAAATCGCCTCTCGTTCTCCTGGCTTATGAAGGCAGAGAGGTCGGCTCGGACAATAGCCATCGTGGAGGGCGGCAAGAGTCCGGAAACGGGACGAAACTTATACATGGCTGCAAAAGCATTGAATATATCAGTAGTCGTCCTTGATAAGCCGGGACACTGGCTCGAAGGTCCTGAATACGCAGATTGGCGAGCAGCTTTCCTCCCCGTTGATAGAAATCCCAACGCCGGGTTCCCGGATAGGATTGTCGAAGCATTGGACAGATATAGTAGAGAAAAGGCAGCCCTGAAAATTGACGGACTGGTGACGTTTTTCGATCCATTGTTCGTTGGAGTCGCGGCGGCTGCGAAGAAGCTTGGATTGACCACAACGAGTCCGGAAGCATATGCAATTGCGACTGATAAATTCAAGACAAGCATCGCGGAAGGACGCCCCGCCTACCGTGCTTCAAGCCCTGATGAAGTGGCTAAAATAATTCAAGATACGACCCTGAATTATCCACTCATAGTCAAGCCGTGCAGCGGCTGGGGTTCCGAAGGCGTCTTCCGTGTCGATAACTTGGCTGAGCTCAAGGAAGCAGTCCACAAAATTGACTATGATAGACATGGCAACGACGTTGTTATTGAAGAATACTGCAACGGCCCTGAGGTTGATGCCAACTTCATCTTGGTAGACGGTAAAGTTGTCTTTTTCGAAGCAAGCGATGATTTCCCAAAAGACGCAGATGGCGAGGGGGATACGGCCTTGAAGACTTTTATCGAAACTGCCAATATCCTGCCTTCTGCGCTCCCTGACAGTGAGACAGAAGTTCTGAAGAGCTCATTGCACCAAAGCCTTGTAAGGCTCGGGTTCAACGACGGATTTTTCCACCTCGAAGCCCGGATGAAGGAGTCTAGGATGGAGTTCCGCAAAGATGAGAGCAGCGGGCTCGTCGACCTGAGGCCAAAGAAGACGTCAGTAAAGCTTGCTGCAACGCCAGAAGCATGGCTTATCGAGATCAACCCTCGGCCGCCAGGTGTGCAGGCGCTGCTAGCGTCTGCGCATGTCTACGGGGTAGACTACATCGGGGTATCTCTTTGCTTTGCACTTCAGGACAAGGCGGCAGCGGCAAACCTCGCGGTCCCATTCGGACATGGGAAAGTAGGCAATGGGGCACAGTACTGGAGTGCGATTGTGTTCATCCCGGTGGTAAAGGGAGGCATATTTGGGTCTGACGATGTGTGTGCTGACCTCCGAAAACGACGCCCGGACTTGACAAGACACGTCTCAAGGAGCCACTGTTTCTTCCAGAGGGGAGACACGGTTAAGGATCCCAGCTCAGGGCTGCTTAACTGGATTGCATACTATTTGGTCTTTTCGTATGAGAGTCGCGCGCATGTCCTGGGGCTTGCGGAAGACATCCGGACAGAGACCAAATTCGAAGTCGCCCAGCCATGACTCCCACAGACTAAATAGCTAGGTAGATTTACTTACTCGGTAGATAGTTAATCAATCCCGCTCCGGCGGTTCCTTGCAATGATAGCAGACTCTATTCAGTGAGAAATTCAAATATCCTGCCAGTCTTTTGTGAGACTTCATGGCATGCTTTGATAGCGGCGTCCCGTTTTTCCCCAGCGGGGGGCAAAGTAAAGAGAGAGGTGTCAGCTCCGCACTGGAGAAGCAATTTAAGGCAAATGGGCTCTCGTGGCAAACATAGTAGAGCAAGCGATAGAGGTGTCTGGCCGAACTCATCCTGCGCATCAATATCAGCTCCATACTTGAGGAGGAGCTTAAGAACGTCTTCCACCCTCTCCTCACTCAAAGTTCTGCACCCAGTCCGGTTCTCTCTCCTTATTTTGCCTCCAACAGCGCTCATCTGCTGATGCAAAGGTGTGAACTTGTCCCGACCTCCATTTTTCGGATTGAGACCGGACTCAAGCAAAAGTTTCAGTATCTCTAAGTATATGAGACCATTTGGGCCGTCTGACTGGGCACGGCCGACCACGAGGTTTGCTAATCCGTGGCCGTGGTAGTCCTGCATTGTTGCATCACCGCCATTATCAAGAAATACCCGAACGGAAGTTATTTCCCCGTTGAAAACCGCCAACCTCAGAGGTGACTTTTCATAGTTATCCAAGCAATTCACGTCAGCATTCCGTGAAACTAAATATCGAATAAGATGGTCGTTTTTCTGTAGGAAGTCTGGCGCTTCGCCCTCATGAACGAATTTCCTTTTGTGCGTATTCTTAGCTTGGAACACTGCTACGTATAATGGACGGTGGCGTACCCATCCACCTGATTCGCACTTCTTGTTAGGGTCCGAACCCGCGTCGATGGCGCGTTTTGCTAGTTCAACGTCTGCAGTTTTCACGGCCCACCATATGGCGTCGTTTCTAGGTGACTGCGCATCGAGCCGGTATAATTGTTGGTTTAACAGGTTGTAGAACCGGTGGTTGCATCGCAAAAATGAGTTTAAATCCTGTTTCCTCGTTAGGTCGTTTGAAATGAGCAGGATCAATTCGTTTGGAAGCATGGTAAGGCAGGCCGCTTGGGTTATGCTGCAACTTGGGGTATGCCGCGGATGCTGGATCGACATGTTGGAGTAAAATTTCGTAAGATATGATATCATCGACCAGAGAATCATGAGACCACTAAACATGTCACCGGAAATAGTAGAATGGCGTGGCCATATATTTTGCACCCAAATTAGGCAGCATACTCCGAGTTCGGCGAGGGCGAATGTTTCGTTAACTGTATATGTTGCGGTGAAAAGGGCTAGGCGCATGCCGGGATACTTGCATCGGATATAAGTGCCGCCGAAAACATACGACATGGAGCTTTTCTATAATCCTCCATGATCAGGAGGGAGAATGTGGCCAGAGAATGAGAGTGAAATAATCTCTAGTGTGAAATAGAAACGATGCCTTGACAACTGCGGCCTCATTAACTAGTTAACTGAGCCAGTGACAGGTAACTAACTATGGAGAAGGAAAACTTAACTTAATCTTATCTAGCGACGCCTCTAACCTTAACTTAACTTAGTAAGTACCGAAAGGTTGTTTTGGTAGCCTCGAGTTAAAACAAGAGACGCCCTTAAAAGCTAGATATAAAAAACTTTTTCATAGCGTTAAGCGTGTAACTCGCGAGTTCAAGTAAAGGTTGTCTTCCCTAATAACTAATGCTGTATAATATCTTTCATTTCTCTGTATTCATTGGTAAGGAGCGCTAATATTGTAAAATCGGTCGATCAAACAACGAGAAGATTTGAATTCAATATGCCTAATAAGATAGATTACATCAAAATCATTACGAGTCAACGTATTATAGCCTTTTTTGGCTACATGGATTAGTGATATATCAACCTCCAAGGCAACCTGTGACAAGGGGCTGACTGTCAATTGGATTCTGTTGTTCTGAACACAGTAAAAACTGTGATACTTATGAGCCTCATTGGTTGATTTATTTTATCGCTAGCTGCTCTTTAGGAAGAGGGAGTTGACAGTAACTCCCCTTATCTTTCCTTCTTTTTCCCACCCCCAGATGCTGTTCGCAGCCGACCCCTCCAACTTTTTGAAGTTCCCCCCCAGAAGCAAGACGTTACGCTAGCATCTCCAGAGCTATCTTCGAGCAATGAATATGTACATGCTGATCTTTTATCAAGCACTTCATTCTCTAATAACATATCATTATTAGGCACCCATGTGCATGACGACCTTTTTACGTACACATCCGGCAGATATGCTTTCAATGAAGCCCTTAGGAAGAATGAGCGCTACATCAGGTTTGACGTTGAAGCTTTCAAGCAACTTGCTGCAAAGCACATAAACAATGGGCAAGTGATAGATATAACTAAGCATGCAGAGGGGGGTTTCAATCGCGTCTTCCTTCTTACCATGGAGGATGGTTTCCAAGCAATTGCCAAAATGCCCTACCGCGTTGCTCTCCCGAAATATTATGCAACGGCAAGTGAGGCAGCGACATTGGAGCTATTGCGGATGAAGAGCATGCCTGTACCAAAGGTGCTTGGATACTCTGCCTCTACTGACAAACCTGCTGGAGTTGAGTATATAATCATGGAGAAAGCCCAGGGGGTCCAGGTAAAGGAACAATGGGTTTCAATGACAAAACAACAGAGGCATAAGTTAGCTTCTAGTTTTGTGGAGATCGAAAAGACCCTCTTCTCTCTACCCTTCAGCTCAATTGGCAGTGTTCATTTCAAGTCGGATATACCAGCTGAGCTTCAAGCACCGTTGCAGGCCGTAAGCTGTCAGGGCCAAGAGCATGGACAGGATATTTCTGACAAGTTCTGCATTGGCCCAATTGCCGATTATATGTTCTGGTATGGGAAACGCGCAGGACTTGACATATCGCGGGGACCATGTAAGTACTGTCCCCCGCCCGGTATATCAAAGCAGCTTCTGACCTGACTTCTGACCCTCGATAGGGAACGATTCTACGAGCTACCTCCGATCAATCGCAGACAAGGAGATGAAGTGGACTCAACAATACGGAAAACCACTTGAACTTCGTTTCCCCCACAATGACGTGCTCACTGGCAAGCAAAGTCCAGACAGATATGTTGACCTGTTGAGCAAATATCTGGCATTAACCCCATACCTTCTTCCTAGAGAGGGCTCGGAACTAAACAGCCCAACTCTCAGACATCCTGCTTCGTGAATACCTATTACAGTATATCTCCTTTTTTTTCACAAAATGCTCATACATCCACAGATCTAAACCCGAATAACTAACATATTCATCGATCCTGAAAGCTGTGAGATCACCCGTTTAATTGATTGGCAACATACGATTATACAGCCAAGTCTCCTTGCCGCTGGTTATCCTCGAGCTTTTGAGAACCCTGACACCGATGAGCCACTCGATCTAAAAGAGCCCACTCTGCCGCCCGAGTATGATAGCTTAGAGGGCGATGAGAAAGCTGAAGCAGATGAGCTCTATCGCCGTATGCTGATGTTTCACTACTACCGTATATATACAGGCGTGTTCAACAAACTGCATCTCCACGCCTTAAGGGATCCCCTGTTGAACCCACGGAAACATCTGGTAGACAGAGCAGGCCGCCAGTGGAGCGGAAATACAATCACCTTGAAGGGCGCCTTGATTCGTATGGCCGATTACTGGGACCAGCTGCCTGAAACAAAGGGAATCGAATGTCCTGTAAAGTTCAACATATCGGAGATCAACGAGTTTCTAAAGCAGGAAGAGATGTGGCTCTGTTTCAATGCCGTCGTGAACCATTGGCGGGATGAACTATGCATCAGCGAAGACGGCTGGGTTAGCGACGGGAACTATGAGTCTGCAATGAAGGTGATACAGGGCCTGAAGCAGGATATGCTCAGCAAGGCAGAAGGAGACCAAGAAGACATTGACATTGTACTGATCAACAAGGGCTGGCCGTTTGATGACCACGAGGAGATTGACTGACATGCCGCCTGCACTTAAATATGGA